GAAAAGTTAGATGGATGGAACACTATTTGAGGAATGGGGTCGTGAAATTGATCGGCAATTTATGAAGAAAGGACTAAAAATTGTTATATTAGTTGATAATTGTCCAGCTCATCCAATCATTGATAATCTTGAATCAATAGAACTAATCTTTTTACCACCAAACACTACCTCAAAGCTCCAGCCGATAGATCAGGGCATGATTAGGTCACTTAAACCCCATTGTAGAACACTATCTGTTAAAAAATTAATAGATGCAATAGAAAAAAAAACCTCTTCCGGAATTTACTATAATGGATGCAAAATGGATGCTATGCAAATGCTTGATGTTGCTTGGGGGAAGGTGAAGACCGAAAATATTTGCAACTGTTTTGCTAAAGCTGGAATTTCAGAGAAAATTTGTTTTGATGCCTCGGTAGATGTGGATGATCCTATGAGGATCTCAAAGAACAATAAGAAAAGCTTGCTGTTCATATATCCGAGTTCTTCCCTGAAGGAACAAAAGATGTCATGCCCATGGATGATTTTGATGTCCATGGATGATTTTGCGGATATACGTAGCTTTTTTCACTGAACTTTTTTCACACTTTTTATTATTATAATAGTGTATATTTAATGTTTATACTTTAGCATTGAATAAAAATCGCCTTAACTCGAATAAATATCTCATTTCTGTCAAAGTGCGACTTAACAGGACTTTGCTTAAGTCGAACATTTTTTAAGTCCTTGGTCCTTTGGAGGTTTGAGTTATTGGAGTCGAGTTATTTTCCTTGGTTCCTTGGAGGTTCGAGTTATTGGGAATTAACTGTATTTTAAAGACTTTGAGAGAATTGCTACTGTGGAGAAGGCGAGCTTTGAGTAAAACAACAAAGTTTGTTTTTGTTGGTATACATTTATCATTTTGTTTTACTTAAAAAAATTCTGCCAAACATTTTTTTTTTTTATCATTTTTTTTAAAATAAACACAACTTGTCTCGCCACCGTCTTGATCCCTTTAACAGATAAAAACTTACTTTAAAGACTCAAGCCTTACCGGGAAATGCGTGCAGTCGCACGCCTTGTTTGTCCACATTTAAAGTATTTTTTTAGACAAACTAATCATGGCAGTTTGTATCTATTTAACTTATAAAGTGTTTAAATAATTCATGGGAAAAAGCCAAACTTATCTACTAAGAAAAAATAAAACAATCCTAAAAAAAGGAAACAAAATTGTAACAAAATATCAAGCTTAATTAAATAAACTAGAAAATTTAATAATAAAAAAAAAGTAAATTAAAAAAAATACTTTTTTTTTATAAAAATTTTAAATAACTTTTGTATTCTTTTTTTTAGAGTCATTGTTGAAAAAAACATCTTTTATAACAATTTAACAACAATTGAAAGTTTTGATTTGCAAGTTATTCACGATTTTTATGAGTCTATGTAATTAAGAAACTAATTTTCTATGTATTCTAGAACTATAAAAAGTTTTTTTAATTTTTTCTTATGTTTATTCGTTTATTACCTTTATTATGTTTATTTGTTTTACGTCTTTTCGCTTTTAAAAAAGTTTTTGCTGTATTTGACGTTTTTTCTCGATACTTATATAATAGGAAAATAAGTAAATTTATTGTTATTTATTTGTAAAAAATATTATTTGATTTATAAATTTTGTTAATGATGGAATAAGTTAAACAAAAGAATAACATAGTTTCTTTAATAAAGGTATTTACCACATTTGATGCATGTCTGAAATTGTATCTTTTACATTGCCCAATTTCCAATGTTAATACAAATTACTAGAGATTATGAACATAACGATTGTATTTAAAAAATACTTAAGCAAAGCATAGTATAAAAATTGGTAAATTTTTTACTAATATATTTTCTTAAATTGCATTGTTACTCTAGTCAATATATTTTAGTCAGTTTAAGGTTTAACCACTTCACCAAAATTATTCTTCTCTTATTTTTGATGCAAACATCAAGAAAAGGTTTACCATTTTGTTGATGTTTGGAAAACTTATTAAATTAGTAAGCTTTGGATAAAGCACCCAGGATAGTTAAAATTTCTTAATTTTAAATGTTTTCTCAATATCACAATTAATATATAATTTAAGATAACATGTGATATAATTTATACAACATTTACAAAACTTTGAATTGTTAAAGATTCAAATTTATTAATCTGCATATCTTTACGCATGAGCTATATACAGGCTTCAGCAGGAGTAAATGAGTTCATGGACTATATAATTTTTCAAAACCATAACATAATACTACAGCTAAAGGCGATGTTTTTTTTGAGCAAGATGTCCTGAAGTTTTTAATTATCTAAAATGTGTTTTTCTTTATTTATTTCATTGACAAGTGACATTTAACATACAACATAATAGTAATATAAAATAATTTAATGTATATTTAAAACAAGTAAAAATTAAACTACATGTAAATTAAAGATTTGAACATAATGAAAGTCCTGATTTAACAAATAATGTAAACAGAGTAGAGAATAAAACTCTCTACGATTGGATTCACATCAAAGACAGTTAAAATTAAGTTTAATCTTAAATTCATCAAAAAACACAAAATCTAATCAAAATTACAAAAACAGAGATAATGCTGCTATTAACACAGCTTTAGGGGAGTTTATTTTGCCAATTTTTTAAAGCTTAATGTTTTTTTTAACTAGTCTCACACTTATCTATCACATATCTAACACAACATGTTAATAAATCACAAAAATGCCTATTAATCTGCTAATATCTAGGAATCTAACTTTACTTTTGTATTGTAGGATAATGATAGTCATTGTTAGGAAATTATTCTCTCCCCCCCCCCCATCCCTGAAGAACTTTAATAGTTTTTTTATTTTGATAAATTGTCATTCAAGAACCAAGAGGCCGTTTGTCCATTTTTTGTGTTTCCAAGAAAATCCAGTTTTAAAGTTTAATTTGTAAAGATTTTCTGCCAGAATGACCAAATAATTTTTTTAATATTTTTAAAAGTTGTAACATTCTTAAAATGAGATATATTAGACACACACTCCATTGATTGTTGAATATTTATCAATAATAAACAGAAAAAAATAAAAAATATGGACATATGGCCTCTTGGTTCTATGCTGACGAAATATATTTTATTGGTTTATGGTTTTACTTATAGAGACATAAAGCACTCAAAATAATTTTTTAAAGATTGTGATCAAAATTATAAAGCCAAATACAACACAAGAAAAAATTTTAAAAATCAAGATAAGTATTTTTCAATCATTTCTAGATAAGTATTTTTTAATTATTTCTAGATTTTTCATCCCACATTGTTATAATAAAATCTTGCAAAATTAAAAACAAGTTTTCAATCAAGAGTTTACTAATCAACCAACTACTCCCTACAATTTTGGGGAACTTTTGTGAGGTGCTCACAGCTCAGCTAATGTTATTTTACAAAAAATCCACTAAGGTAAATCTATGGTAGTGTCCACACAATTGCATGATAATCGCATAAAGTTTGTGTTCTAAAAATAGATTTTTTTCAATAGTGTAAGGCATTGTGCGATTGATATTCAGAGAAACATTGCACAGAAACAATAGAATTTCTTGAAAACGAAATATGTTGTGCGATTGATATTCAGACACACAAACAATTCAACATCATCAAAAAGATACGCTATTGATTGTTAATAGCTTTTTATTAGACATTTGTATATTAATTGATTGTTGATGGCTTTGTATTACAACTATTTTGTAATAATGCATAACAAGTGAAATGAAAAATATTTTAATTGTCAACATAGTAGAAAATCATGAGCATTATCTAATTGAATCCTAATTCTATTTCATTTTTAAATCTTCATTATCAAACTATTTTTCTGTGTAAACTTGAAAAACCATTTAAAACCGTTTTTATTATTAAAACTTTGGCATATAAATTAAATAAACATAAATTATTAAAACTTTGGCATATCACACGAGCAGTAAACGCCTGAAGGAAAAATGAAATACACTAAAACTATTAAAGAGTTATTTTTCAAACAAAGCATACTTAGACAGTTGTCAAGTTATAAAATTTGTGCTGTTTTATAAAGGCCAAATACTAATCATATAAACTTAACAAACCTCCCTAAAAAAAGACATCACTTTTTTCATTAGTTAATTACCATGAATTAATCATTCTCGCCAAAATATAAACAAATTTCTCCATAGGTATGCTTCTGTATAATCCTGCTTGTTCATACAATATTGCTCATTATCAATGTCCACAATTCTAAGTACTGAAAAGGTAATTCATCAACTCAGTTCGTTACAGCTTAAAAAATAAGTTTTGAAATTTAAATACATTTCTTCTGCTAAAAATAAGCTGCTAACACAACCATAGCTAAGAAACTATTATCTTTCCATTAACTTAATTCTAAAGTTGACTTTGTCTCCAGTTCAAACTAATGAGATGTCTTCAATTTATTTACAGTACAGAAAATTATTTTTTCAGAATTAAAATATACTGCCAAGTGCATCAATGATGTTTAACCTTTATCATAATACAAAAATATATACATTCAAGTCTCATTTTAAACCATGATTCATAACTTCTTTTTGTTACACTCAGTATATATGTTTATTGCAGTGTTGTGCTTAACAATGCCTATTTGATTAATTTAACAATTTTTAAAATGTTTGACGTTTTAAAATTTGTAAAAGTTTTGAAAAATTTTTTTAAATTATTTTTCTTTATAAAAATATTTTCTATTTAAAAAATAAAAAAATAAATTATGTAAAACAAGGTTGTTAACTATAATCTTGTTCCTCAGCGTAGTGGCATTGTTCTTTAGAATTCTTGATTTGATTGAAAGTGATAAAATTGAAAATGAAGTTTTATATTAATTAACAATCAAAAAAAGAAAAAAAAATTAGCCTTCTTAACTTAATGGTTTCTCAACCAGTGAATATGTAAAAAAAATAAGTATAAAATATGTTCAATACTCCACAAATAAGTTTTTTTTTATTTATTTCAAAAAAAAAGTTTAC